TGACCCCGGTATTGATCCCAGTATTGATCCCAGTATTGATCCCAGTATTGATCCCGACACCAATCCCAACACTGACCCCGGTATTGATCCCAGTATTGATCCCAGTATTGATCCCAGTATTGATCCCGACACCAATCCCAGCACTGACCCCGGTATTGATCCCAATATTGATCCCAATATTGATCCCAACACCAATCCCAGCACTGACCCCAGCATTGATCCCAATATTGATCCCAACATCAATCCCAGCACTGACCCCAGCATTGATCCCAGTATTGATCCCAATATTGATCCCAATATTGGTCCCAACACCAATCCCAGCACTGACCCCAGCACTGATCCCAGTATTGATCCCAGCATTGATCCCAGTATTGATCCCAACACCAATCCCAGCACTGACCCCGGCATTGATCCCAATATTGATCCCAGTATTGATCCCAACACCAATCCCAACACTGACCCCGGTATTGATCCCAGTATTGATCCCAGTATTGATCCCTCCCACCCCCGACGTCGCCCCCCAGGCTCACCCCGGCCCCGATCCCTCGGGATCTGTCCTTGTCCCCCCATTCCAGGGAGGAATGGATCCGGGCCATCCAGACCGTGGCCAACAGCCTCAAGGCCCGGGAGCCGCCGCCGCCCGAGGATCCCATGGAATTCCAGGGCGGATCCCCGGGATCCGACGACCCCGACGCGCCCGCCGGCAAATCCCGCCCCAAGGCCGTGAGTCTTCCCGGGAATCCTTTCTCCCAGAGCTTTTCCCGGCTGTTCCCACCCCCAAAACGGACTTTTTTTCCCCCAAAAAAAGACCATGAACGACTTCGATTACCTGAAGCTGCTGGGAAAAGGCACCTTTGGGAAGGTGATCCTGGTGCGGGAAAAGGCCTCGGGCCGTCACTACGCCATGAAGATCCTGCGCAAGGACGTCGTCATCGCCAAGGTGGGAACGGGGGGGGCTTGGGGGGGTTTGGGGGCTCGGGTTTGGGAATTCGGGGGTCGGGAAAGGGGAAAGGGGGCGTTCCCAGCCCGGAATTCCGGGATAATCCCCCTTTCCCGCCCCCAGGACGAGGTGGCCCACACGGTGACCGAGAGCCGGGTCCTGCAGAACACGCGACATCCCTTCCTGACCGTGCGTTCCTGGGGGGGAAACTGGGAATTCCCGGGAATCCCCGGCCTTGGTGGGGGGTCTCCCGTCTTGCTCTGGGCCCCCTTGGAATTCCCGTCCCAAAATTCCCCCCTTTTCTCACCCCTGACAGGCCCTAAAATACGCCTTCCAGACCCACGACCGGCTCTGCTTCGTCATGGAGTACGCCAACGGAGGAGAGGTGGGACGGGGGGCCTCAATCCATGGATTTGGGGGGCCTCAATCCCTGGGTTTGGGGGTCAGGATCCCTGGATTTGGGGGCCTCAATCCATGGATTTGGGGGAGCCTCAATCCCTGGGTTTGGGGGTCAGGATCCCTGGATTTGGGGGCCTCAATCCATGGATTTGGGGGAGCCTCAATCCCTGGGTTTGGG